TCGATTCTGATCAGTGTATTTCAAGATATTATCAAAAAACTTCGGTGCGCCAAATTACCCACCCGCGCCATAATACCCGACTCTACCTTATACCAAACTGATCTAGTGTTACATATAATTAAGGTTAGGAATTACAGCTATAGTATTTAAATTCGGCCTGTATTATATTGATCTGCTCCCCTATACGGTATTAGACTATATATACCATACTATATAATTTGTTGTCGCGAATTAACGCGAGGATTGCCTAACTGGAGGTAATCACATGATTTTTATTTGCAGTATAGAACTAACATGAGGGTTATTATTAGGAATCTGCAGAGAAGGATGATGCTATTAGAATATTTTAAATTGGATATTATTGTCAGAGTGGAATTGGAGTAAATTAAACAAAAAGCAATCATTTATCATTAAAAATCTGCAGAGATGGGTGATATTTCGAGCTGGGTATAGTTATTAGAATAAAATTGGAGTTAAAAAAGATGAATATAAGGCTATTAATTATCCAAACATCCCATGTTGAATATTATTATTGGAATGAAAAGATAAACATAGGTTTGTCAGAAACACCAGTGAAACATAAAATTTATTATATAATTATAAAATACTTTTTGTAATGGTGATACAATAAATTAAAATTACATCTAAATATCAAAAAGTCCATTATCTAAACGATATTGTACTAGATCTGCGATAGTAATGAGCTTTAAATTATGCTCATCTGCAAATGCGCGACAATCATCACGACGCGCCATTTGCCCGTCGTCCCTTACCAATTCACAGATAATTCCAACTGGTTGCAAACCCGCTAATTTACATAAATCTAATAATAAATAATAATAAAAATAACAATTAAAAAATTCAGTAGAACATATAAGTTAATGAAGATCTTAATACAAACCTATTGAAGCTTCTGTATGGCCAATTCTTTTCAAAACTCCACCTTCACGATATCTTAATGGAAACACATGACCAGGCCTATTAAAGTCATTTGGATCTGTAATAGCTGGATTAGCAAGTGAACGTGCTGTCAATGCACGGTCATGCGCTGATATACCGGTGGTAGTATCTACACGAATCGTAATTTATAAAAATGTGTTTTACTTGTCAATTAACAAAACTCCGAATGAACCTACTATATTTGTAATCCACCGATATCGTGTATGCAGTTTTCATTTTTTCGGTATTGTTCGGTACCATCAAAGGTAGTTTTAACTGATCCAATCGTTCTGGAGTAGTCGGTACACATATTAACCCGCTAATTATAAATGATTTTAATTTTTTAGGGTAAAAAGTTTTTAAGAAGAAAAAAAAAATTCTTCTTACCTTGTATACCGAACCATGAATGCCATTTTTTCTGTAGTTACTTTTTCAGCAGCAATGATTAAATCACCTTCGTTTTCACGATCTTCGTTGTCAACAACCAGTACAAATTTACCTTCAGCTAAACAATGCAAGGGGTATAAAAGTTAACAAAGGTATTTATTTTTAGTAGACATTCAAGAAATACCTACAAAAATCCTTAAGTGCGTCTATAATAGAATCAAACCGAACCTTGGCTTTGGTTTGCATTTTTGACTTTATTGTACCGTTGGTGCAATTAGTTGAATATGGGATTGCATGTTCCTTTACCATCTTTCTTCGTATTGTGACTTTTTCAATGAAGAGTATTTTTTTTTTTTACACGCATGTGCATTTATTTATAAATCTATTTTTGCTTTTTTTGTATTATCTGTTATAAATTATGCAAATTGATCAACACAATAGATGGTGTAACATACTAATCTCTGATTAATAATATCTCGGGGATTATTATTAAGAAAATACATAGTTTTTACAAATGTGCTGTAGTACAGTATTTAATCCGAACTTTATCTAAATTTTGATTTATCATTTTGATTAATAATTTGTCAAAAATTTATTGTTAAACTTTAGCCAATCAAAGTACTAAAAAATAAGCTTATGATTAGGTTTTTTTGACTTAAATCAGTTTCAATCTGGATTAATCCGCCATAAATTTATCTGACATGCTATTGTATCTCCGGATATTCATCTTATTAAATTGGATACATATGGGCTAGGGTGTCCAGAATTCTGCAATTTTTTATCCGTTATTTTCTGCACATAATTGTACAGATTTTTTCAGTTAATCTGGCCGGCACTATTGATATTGTTTGGTAGCTTTATGTAGGATTATTGATTTGATTTAAGACAATTGTCCTGTATTATTTCGGGCTAACAATAAGCTACGCCTCAGTCCTGCAAATCCAAAACCATCAG